CCACACATTTTAAGTGGAAAAATAGGATAGACATGAGTTTAAAAAATATTTTCTATAATAAATATTTACGAACAACATCAACATAGATAGTGTAATTTTATAACTGGAGTCTAGAACGAAATAGAGCTATGTTTATGGGGACCCGCCACTTTTTCATCTCACTTAGCCATAAAACTTATACTAAAACTAAAGCATAAGTGAGCTAGCCTAAGGGGGGGAAATCTAGAGTCTTGGAGATGTTTGTGGAAGACTCTAGAATATCCTAGAAAATGTCTTGGAAGACTTTAGAATTCTCTAGACTTATAGAGAATTCTAGAAGAGAGACTATCTTGTAAATAACTAGGGGCTTGCATAGTAGTTTTTATTTATACTTTAGCTCTTAGGAGAGTAGTATAAATTGAACTCTCATTTGCCGTAAAACATTTTCCAAGCATTACAAAAAGCCTTCTTTAAAAGCTCTCTTTGTCTTTCTTCATTCTCTTAGTTACTTAAGGTTACAATGTCTTTCTTCATTCTCTTAGTTACTTAAGGTTACAAGATCACAAACACATGTACTTAGAAAAACTTATGTGATATTTTCTATTTTTAGTGAAATTCAATTCTTATCTCCTATGATTTCAGCTCATTTAATTGCCATGAAAACCCCTTAATTCTTTTCATAACAAACGCACATATAAGTGAACTTTTATGAAATATAGTGTATTCTCTCTCCATGTGATTTTATATAAAGATGTATAGTTGATTGAAACAACATTACAAAAAAAAATAACTAAAAATCAAATATCACTTTTTATTAATATATTTTATTTAATTTTGAACATTCTTAATTAGATTTCTGGCTTCACCACATCACCATAACTATTTTCGGTGAACTTTTGCAACACATCAAGAACCAAGCCCAAAATATTTGAATCAGGGAAATGATTTCCGAAGTTGGGAAAACTCTAATTACCTTCAGTAAGTCCACAAGCTCCGAATTGGCATTTTTGGGTCTAGAAATATCAACAGATTGCAACTAAACAAGAAATAGACATTAGCAGCTGAGGCGAGTAGAAAATATTTTAGCACACTAATTTATTGCGTCTATTACTAAAATATCTTTGAATGTACTAAGAACCTTTTGAATTGTCAAGTGTTGCGCAAAGCATTAGTGAAAATCTAAGTGCATGACACTAAGCTCTAAAGAAGTGTAATTACATTAGGATAGAAAAGAAAACAATGACTAAAAAAATACAAAAATAAACAAAGTAAATTAATGGTCATACATGTAATGACAGAAATTGAAGAAAAAAATAATATGAAAATACTTGATGCAATCTCTAATGCGAAAAATGAGTAAAGATATAAAAGATAGCCATAACAATAATTGACAATTAAGGTTCTATAATAACCAAAAGTTCAATTAGAAGAATTGCAACAAATGCCTAACTCAATGCCTTTCTTTTTCCTTGTTATTGAAGTTTTATACTCTCATTTACTTTATAAAAAACACAACTTTTGTGATGAAAATCCCGATTATTTCATTCTTCACTTGATTGACACATTTTGGTGTCCTCCTCTCGATTGCAAATCAAATGACTGGATTTTTATTAAGATTGTCCTATGGTTAAAAATACCAACTTTATATTTTTAGAAAATGAAAATATGAAATGTGGAGCAACTTATTTAAAGCATTACGTTTCCTTCTATCTCCATGCTTAAAAACCAACTTATGATGGCTAACATTCCAATATTCAACCCTAGTGAAAAAATATCGAAGAGGAAAGAATAATAAAGGTGATTTTAAATGGAACAACAATTACTCTTTTGGGAAATAGATAGGAACAACTTGAGATGTATGAACAATTTGGGAAATAGCTAGGAACAATTTAGGATTCTAACCTGTTTGAGATGTAGGAACAATTTTTCGATTCGTCTTGAAAAAAGTTATTATTATGGAATTTCATACTTTATAAATGAATTTCAGTATAATATTTTTGAAATTTTCAATTTTCAATTTTTTTTAAAGCAAATTTGGACTCGTAGTCCTTTATTAAAATCAACTAATGGATCCAGGAGAGTCCATTAGTGAATCAAGACAATCCAATCTAAATGGCCCAAAAGTGACCATTCGGATATAAAACAACAATTCCCTAAGTATTGATTTCCTAATTTGATACTTCCAACTCTACATTGTCTTAAGAGCCTGTTTGGATGGGCTTATAAGCTGGTCAAACTGGCTTAAAAGCCAGTTTTTGACTTATTAGAGTGTTTGGCAATTATCAAAGTGACTTATTTTAAGTCAAAAATGACTTATTTTAAGCCAAAAGCTAAAAGCTAGGGGGGGGGAGCTTTTTTTTTTTTAGCTTAAAAGCTCTTTTATGTTGACCAAGTATATTACCTTTTTGCCCTTAATTCTTTTATACAATTTCCAAATTGCCCAAATTGAATTATTATTATTATTATAATATTATTATTATTACTATTACTATTACTATTATTATTATTATTATTATTATTATTATAATTATTATTATTA